TATTAGCAATTGAACGACAGCTATATTTAAGAAATGGGGTGTGGGATAAACTTACCTCCACGTGGTGCACCCTGGACAACGTATATTCATACGGTAAAAAGTCTATTAACTGGCAGTTGACTTCTGACTTCAAACTACCATGACCCCACTGTATGTCATATTCGACCCCTTCCACAATCCTCATCTTACCTTTTCTCTGCCTCTGTGTCCACCTGTCACTTTTGCATCTGTTAATCATTATTCTGTTCTCCCTCTCGACTTTTGTCACTTTGATGTTCCTCCTCCTCTCTGTGAAGCCCGAAGTCAGCTAAAGGGCTAATGATAACTATCATAAAGCCTGCCATTTGAAATAAAAGAAATGTACTTCTTACTAGGAAAACGTTCGCTAGCCACTTAACCACATCGCAATTATAGCTTTTATCACTTTCCAAGGAAGCTTCCAGAAGTACGTCTCTCAATTATTTATTAAAAAATGCATCCGACTAAAAAGGACTTTCAGTCAGTTGTAAAATAAATTAAATCAAGGAGGAGACCAAATTATTCCAAATCGAAATGAACATGATCGGTTTCACTCTGTCCCCTATGTTCCTTTAACTAGGAATGAAAATTGTAATTATATAGACTATGATATGAGAGACTAAATTACTATTGGAAAACTCATAAAAACAATGATCTAAATAGCAGATATTACCTTTCTAGGTCACAAGAACAATAGAAATTTAAGCAAAGCCCGAATCAGAGTTGAGATAAGTTGGCATAAGACAAAATGCCTTAAATTCGTCACGAATTGTTTCCTGAAACCTTAATTTCTGAGGGTTCCGTGTTCTATAGAAGTGCTGCACATTTTATAGTGACCGAGTTTGCTATAGAATTCTAATAGTGCGATAGGAAGCAAGTAAATTAGAAAATAAATGGGCAGTCATAGATAAACATCAGGTATTGTCATCTGCCAAAGCCTTAGAAATGCTAGAAGAACAATGACATCTCCACATGAATCGATAAATCAACCCACAGAATTGGAAGAGAAGAACTTACAATTTCACTGTATTTAGGCTGCCCAAGCAACTCGGAGATATATTGGAATTCCATGTGTAACGTTCCGACCTCTGACAGAATATAACACTGATTGCTAGCCCAATGAGGATTTCTGCCCTTTTTCCTGCAAAAAAAGAGTGGGGAAATCATTTATTACAAGAATCTGGTCTGGACTATGCGCACAATCACCTAAGTTAACTTGAAGAGCTGTGCAGTGGAATAAAGTGCGAGGATAAAATACTCACAAATATTTGAAACGGAATGCATAACCCAAATGGGATTTTGTGGTTATTTTTTCCCTACACCTAATAACATTATAAATAGTAGATGCGCTGGTGGCACAGTGATCAACATGCACGTGTACCAAGTCAGTGAAGTTATGACCAATCCCACAATCGTTAATTCTAACCAACAGAAAGCATGTTAAATTCAACAAAATAAAAGCACTTACTGTTGAAGATTATAAAGTGAGAAAGGAAGACCCGATTTTAAGTCGAAAGCAGGGAGGAGGTTATCGATTACAGACTGAGCGCGATCAAGATAGAACTAAAGCGAAGACAAGTAGAGTTGGTTTGTTAGTTTATATAATTTGAAGACAAAGAAGAAAACTCTTTTTATCGAGAAAAAATAAGAGCAGAGTTTAAAAAAATGGTGTCTTCTGTTTCAAATGTGCAGGAATCCAGTTCCTTGTACCCTAATAATGACTCAACAACAAAAAAATGGTTTGTTGACTTAAGAGAAACAATGATACTGAAAGCGCGCAAAGAGCACATAAACGCTCTCTATTTCCGGTTTACCCATATTTTTTTAGATACACAGGCAGATAGAGCACAGTATAGAAACTATTCTAAGCGTTTTCACTAGTCCTTACCAGTCCAGTGATCAAGCCAATAAAGCACATTCAAACAGAACATGGTTAATTAATTGTGCAACTGTTTTGCTGTGGCGAACATTTGAATGATTGAGACATGTGAGTAGAGACTACAATACCCAAGTAGACTTTTTGTTGAGGATACCAGCATCCCAATAGTGGATGATTAGAGACGTCCCCCCCCCCCCCCCCACATATCATTAAGTAAGTATCGTATGTTAGTAAGTGAATTAAAAAAGGCGAATATTGTGTTGTAGCATATGAAATAAAGCATATAAACACTGCCTCACCAACTCTCCCGTCAATGAGTAGATGCTAAGCAGACCACCGACAAAGCGGATTGTAATTTCAAACACCGAAACTTCTGTTGGCTATAATTGAAAGAAAAACGACTTGTATTAGGAAGATGTGGAACAATTTTCTCCTTAATAAATGAGTCCTTTGATATGAAAAAATGCTCACAAATACCACACAAAAGTAATAATTTAAGCCCAGGATTATCGAATTCACCAATTCGCAAAGTTACGTGAGTATATCTTTAACAAATTTCCTTAAAACTTATTCACAGGTCATTTAGGGAATGCAAGTAGAAAAGATTATAAGGATTAAAGGGAAAGTAGTACACTAAGTATAATAAACAAAAAGATGCATTCTAAAAGCAGAAAATTTCTCAAGATGATATAAAAACATCGTAATCAATATCAGAGACACGTTAGCTTAAAAAAACAAAAAAAAATATTTATTTCAAATGGCAGGCTTTATGATATTTATCATTAGCCAATAAACTTTGACTTCAGCATCCCCCCCAGTACATTTATAGCAGTTAATTAATAGCAGTTCATTAGCAGTCTTCTTGCTTCCCAGTATCTCTGGCTTTCCGTCGTTGTCTTTAGGGCTGGACACCGAACCAGGTGGGTGTTCTCCATTTCCTCATGTAGGTTACATAGAGGGCATGTGGGTTGAGTGTATACTCCCAATCTGTGAAGGTGTTTTGCCAGGCAATCGTGTCCGGAACGTAGTCTAAACTCAGCAACGGCTTCGATTCTTGGCCAGTCAGGTATGTCGGAGNGAGTGGGCGTTGAAGTCTCCTAATAGTATAGTTTTGTGTGAGATGTTCAGAAATTCAAAGTTTGGACAATTCTGGGGAGGATTATAGACTGCATATATCTTGAAGTGGTTTTGACATTTCCAAACATTTAATCTGATTATTTCACATATGTCTTGTGTCGAGCCCATACTCTTGATTAGGTCGTAGTGTGAGGTGAGGCCATCTTTTACTCCAGTTAGAATTCCACTTGCAACTTGCCGGTATTTAGGTAGATTGTACAGGGTGTAACCTGGGAATTGGTAATACTTCAGTTTGTCATCCGAAATGTTAGTTTCCATAATTGTGAAAATGTCTACATCGCAGGTTTGTAGGATTTTCTGTATTTGGATCTTTTTGACCGGAGACATTCCTCCAGCATTCCACTGGAGGATCTGAAGACGTAGTGGTTCGCCCTGACGAGGTCGATTTTTCTTATAGCCTTTTTTAAAGCTAATCATAATTAATCGAAGTCAAAAACGAATGCCGAGTGATAGACCTTTTTGCCGTAAGAAAATACGTTGTCCAGGGTGCACCACGAGGAGGTAAGTCTATCGCGCACCCCAAAAAAAGCAAAAAATACTCGTATAAAAATGAAACTCCTCTTTTTCAGTCAATAAAACCGACAATCGTAAAAGCATAACGCCTAATCACAAGACAAAATAAACAGCAAAAAAGGAAAAGTCTAAATTTCCTATGTCAACAATTAAATGGACTTCAAAATGTCGAAAAATTTTATGAACCCCAGTTAAAATCTAAGACCAAGAATACGAAATGTTTAAGCGACAATTTCATGAAGATGATAGCATACATATAGGCAAGAAACGAAAAATCAACAATTATGAAACCATTTCGACAAACTTGTCGCTAGACACAGTTGGTGATTCACTAGCCAGAACGAGTTTTGACATTCACCGCCTTAATGCAAGTGTTTGCTTTAATTAGATACTCTAAACCAGTGGCGCAGTTGTGAACGTCAAGTAGTAGCCAGATGGTAAACCACGCTAGTTAAAAGGGTTATTTGATAAAATTAAGAGCTAAGACTTATAAATAGACTAGATCAATAAATCAAGCACCATTATAACTGCTACAAAAATAGATAAGTAGTATAAGAAAGAATTCCCTACGCTCTAAATAAATCTTTATAAAAGACGAAAATAGACATGCCATTCCAGTAAACCACTTTATTAGCACTTGAGGTTAATGCAAAGACAGGCACTTGTAATTAGCATGTCTAACGAGAATGCCAGATGGCGTATTCGATTGGCCAAAGTAGTGAATCACACAAAAATTAACTGCCCATATAGGTACCACCGGGAAAATTAAATAGGAACCACTCTCCTCTCCCCCCCCCCCCCCCAGTAAGAGGAACTTATGATGGTTGGAACGAAAACAAGTATATATGTGGAGGGAATAAATCCAACAATTAAGCTAATTAAAGAGCAGTCAAAGTTGATAAGATGATGGGAAAATTACCAATTACCACCTGCTATTGGGATCTTATGAATCGTAGGCACCATGACACAGTGGGATTAGAAGGTGAGAAATTTGACTGGTCATAAAAAAACTGTAATGAATTTCTATTGACTATATCAAAGACACTGCGTGCCTTAAATTTAAAATTCAGGGTATCTAGCAAGCACCACCACTCCTCTTCACGCAGCTAATATTGACTGATATTGGGGTTTTCAGGAACAGACCACAGGATATACTCCCCTTGATATACAGCGACTTAAAATGAAAAAAAAAACTATATTAGACGCAATCATGTCAAGAAGTGTCCACTCTGTGTCTTCTACGATGCACATGTTTCCCGATAAGCTAAAAATACTACGAGCACTTCCGGCCGCATAAATCTTCATCACAAACCGACCTCCATAACTACTGGTTAAAGCCCGACACTTACAAAGTGACGTAAAGGGTATTGTAATTTGTCAACTTACAGCATCAGAAAAGTCAAGATTATCTTTAATCCATTTAGAAGCTTGCTCATATTCCTTCTCTAGACCCATGATGTAGAGGGTGTCAATAGAGTCCACAATCGTGGCTCCTAGCGGTACCCGTCCAAGGATGTCGGTGTCATGAAAAGTCCTCGATTTGGGACGGAGTTCATTGTGACCCCAGGCGTACTTCACGTAGTTGTCCCATGCGTGCTTAGTCATCTAGAAAAAAAATTAAAAGAAATGCAAAGCAGTAAAACCATGGCATTTACCACATGTGATCGTCTGAAGCAAAGATAATGGGATGACTGAAAGCAACTCACATAAAGTTATATTCTTGCAAACGGAGTATGCGATAGACTTACCTTCACATGATGCACCCTGGGCAACGTATACTCATGCGGCAAAAAAGTCTATAAACCGGCAGTTGACTTCTCACTTCAAACTACCATCACCCCACTGTATGTCATATTTGACCCCTCCCGCAGTACTCACCTCACCTTTTTTCTACCTTTGTGCCTGTTTCTTTAACATCTTTAAAACACTAATGATAACTATCATAAAGCCTGCCATTTGATATAAATAAATATTCTTGCAGACGTGCAGTTAGATTACCGAAAACACACCGAGTAATGTTGTTTATTACCCATAAATCCAACGTATTAATCGATTTCCTAATTGCGGCAACGTATTAGCACACAGTCCAAAATGAATAGAAGCAAAAATAAAATCAGACATTAATTATCCATAACATATCGTGATTTTTTTAGATTTAGATCGCAAATTTTTTATAACCTGGATGTTTTATCGTTTAATGTTCTACGATCAAATTAAAGAATTCATCTTCTGCACAGTTGAGTGAATTCATTTTTGTAGACTGCAGAGCTTAATGGGCAAGCTCTATAATCTTTTATTTACAGAAACAAACGATTTCTAATTCTATTCCCACATGACACTTGCCCTCAGTCTAGATATGACGAAAAGCAAAACTGTCACAGATAAAACAAGGGTCTGATACACAACTGACAATCAAACAAAAAGATATTTCCCAAAAGTAGTCGTAGAATAATATCAGTGAGCATGCACCCGTAAAAAACCAAAGTACATTAAAGAGTACTAGTCGTATCAATTATTGGCCAACAAGGCAACCCACTACATACCAACTATCTCCAGTCTATATGAATAAATTTATTTTGGTAATAGCAAACTCTCGACCGAGATCTATATCTTCCATTTTTTTCCTTTTTGAGTCTGAGTAACAAGAGCTTCAATAAAGGACAACTGTGAAGTTATAAGATTTATATGAAGTGTTAGCAGTTACTAGGTCAGCGATATTAATTAAGGTATACAAGGAGAGCATAAGGAACAAAGTAAATTCAATTTAGATAAGCAATAGAAATCTCGTTTCTTAAGGAATGGAAGGCTAAGAACTACAATGCAGTAATTATATAGCATGTGGTCAATTTCAGAAAAATATAAAATAGAAACAGAATGGCTCTAAAAATGATACCGGCAGGCATCTCAATTGAATACTCAAGATTCTAAATTTCAAATAAGTAAAATTTTATTTTGATTTGTGGGGTGTGCGGTAGACTTACCTCCACGTGGTGCACCCTGGGCAACGCATACTCATACGGTAAAAAAGTCTATTAAGCGGCAGTTGACTTCAAACTACCATGACCCCACTGTATGACATGTTCGACCACTTCCACAGTACTACATCACATGTTTTCTAAATTTTCAACCTTCGTCTTTGAAACACTCTTCAGTTCCCCTTCTCTCGACTTTTTTCACTTTGATGTTCCTTCCCCTCTGTGAAGCCTGAAGTCAATTAAATGGCTAATGATAACCATCAAAACGCCTGCAATTTGATATAAATAAATAAATATATTAATTAATTATTTTGGTTTGCATGAAGTAGCATTAATGCANTAGTAGTATGGGGAGTGCGATAGACTTACCTCCACGTGGTACACCCTAGGCAACGTATACTCATGCGGCAAAAAAAGTCTATAAACCGGCAGTTGACTTCTGAGTTCAAGCTATCATGACCCTACTTTCATAGTTTTCACCTCACCTTTCATCTGCCTTTGTGTCTGTCTCTTTTACATCTTTAAAACACTCTTCAGTCCCCCCCCCCTCTCGACTGTTTTCGATTTGAAATTCCTCTCCCTCTATGAAGCCTGAAGTCAACTAAAGGGCTTATGATAACTCTCATAAAGCCTGCCATTTGATATAAATAAATTATATAGTAGTATAAGTATCCTTCGGTTATAAAATCCATTCTTTTTTATCATTTTATCAGTTTTTAATCCAGTGTTTGCAGTTAATTCGGAGAGAAAATCTAATACTCACCCCCCCTCCCCAGATTCGGTTAGTTTAAAAAGATTAATGATGCATATTCCACAGCATCAAATGTTGACCATCGGCCTATTCGATAGAAATTCTTACTGTTGCTCCCTCGGATAATCAACTCAAGAAATTGAGTATTTAAAGTATCATTTTATGAGAGACGAAGGGAAACTTTCCAGTCATATAACAGTAGCTAGTAAGGTTCATTAATTAACCGCACCCACGTCAAGCTTTTTCCATTCTTGAGGTTGGACTAAGTAGAGGGGCGAAAAAGCTGAACTTACTATGCGGGACATGAAGAATAACGGAACTTATCATCACACATCAAGGCACACTTAATTCTTACAGGCAAGACAATGTTATTTGAGAGACAAGTGAGGTAAGTGCGGATTCCTTCCAGCCCCATAGGACACTTTTTGGTGCAATTTTACAGCCGAAGTAAAAACACGAAACTGCGCGATGAAGTGCCAAAAAATTTTTGCGTCATTAAACGCTGCTTGTCAAAAACTACAACAGCACTTTTGAATGGTAATGATTGAACGCACTAGTGCCAATGTGTCTGGCAGATATTTCTGTGTTGCAATATTTCAAATGGCAGGCGTTATGATAGTTATCATTAGCCCTTTAGTTGACTTCGTGCTTAACAGAAAGAGGAAAACCAAGTGGCAAAAAGTCGAGAGGGGACAGAATAATGATTCACAGACGTTAAAGAGACAGACAGTCACAAAGGTAGAAAAAAGGTGAGGTGAGTACCGTGAAAGTATTCGAATATGGCATACAGTGGAGTGATGGTAGTTTGAAGTGAGAAGTCAACTGCCAGTTAACAGACTGTTTTGTCGTATGAGTATACGTTACCCAGGGTGCACCAAGTGGAGGTAAGTCTATCGCACACCCCGTGTTGCAATAGTTTGAAATAAAAAGATGAGTGAACGTAAACCTACCCCATTCAAAATTTCTCAACCCTTTGGTACCGTAATTTAATAAAGCACTTATTTTAATGAAATCAAATGTGATTTCGTTTTTTTNTTTTTTTGCATTTTTTATGTACTTATGAAAATGTAATTCCACTCACTTTGTTAATAAAACTTGATTTCGAATTGAATAAGAATGGTTTATTTAAATAGGAAGGATTAGAATGCGAGTATCTAATAAGTGCCACTTATCGATGCTGAATATTTTGGTTTTTTTCCAGTAGGGATAATACAATCCATGTAGAGAATATGCTAAAATGTGAATGGAACTCCGAGCGATATAATTAGAAAACTGGGGAGGGGGTGGGGGGAGTGGAGGAAACTAGCTGTTTAGAAAACAAAAATAAACAGAAAACAACTGATAAGCATGTAACAACGTAGAGGAGACCAAAAAATGACAAAATCTGATAGGAAATAAGCCAGATTTTATCTTAACTACTGTCAATTAAAGTTCATGACTCATTTATTGCCTATTAATTATCCGCTCGTCAATGTGGTAACATATTTGGCACACCTAGCAATCGTAACCATTAGTAGGATTACGAATAAAAAAACACAATTTAGAGCAAATTTTTCCACAAGTTTTTTGGCAATTCAAAAGATAAGCAAAGAGAAAGTGCATTTACAAATAGCAGTTAAAATTCTGCTGTTTTTTTGTCAATCACTGTCATTCATTAATTAGCCCATTTCGGATGCACTCACATTTCCCCTTTATTTCTGTAAGTTTAGTCTACCTTGAAATACACCCAAAATGCCAAATGCCAACATCCTAATAATTTTTCACTCAAAAGTCCTGTTTGCCTTTATATCCCCTCAATGTGAAAACCTATATGATTCAATTTAGTAAGATTTAAAAAACGATTCACTTTTAGCGACCTGGAGCGGTACAAAATGAAAAATATTTCAAAAGACGATTCTAATTGCACAATGTGCTGTGAGAAGTTCATGCACGAATTGATTCATTTGCTGGAAATTCAGGAAAATAGGTTATGATATATAGGCATAATAGTTATACCAAATGCTTTAACAAAACTTACGCAATTTAATTTTAATATTTTAGAGTAACCACCTATTTGGGTTAAGAGGTCTATGGATCAATCCCATGTTTTAAAATATACGAAGATTGAGCTGATTAATCCCTTATTAAAAGACATCATAAAGGCAAGGTGAGTGAATATGAAGAGCACTAAGACTATAACCGATATGGTATTTGGAAATACTTATTGACGAACTGAAATTGAACGGTCTAATGTGGGTTAAAGAAGTGAATCAAGCAGATATTGGGAACATTGCCAGAAACCATGGCACTTGGACTACATCGGTTTTATTTTGAGTTCTGATTGTAAAATGTTGCTTAATGCTTATTTCACTCTATTCTTGAATTTTTCTTTAGATTTTGAATTAAATTCTACCCAAAGGTGTCCAGTCCTTGAGTAATGTGGACCATCAGTCTTTACACTCCGATTCTTTTTTTCCTTAAGAGGGTATTCTGCTCTAGAGGCGTGAATTTTAGGTCATTTTTGAAGTGCTGTAAAAAAAGCAAGCAATATTTTTATTATAAATTTTTTTACATATTATTTATTCACCTTAGAAGCACACAAAAGAACTAAAAAATTTAAAATTTTGTTATTTATCAGCTGATGGAGTGGGGCGTTCCAAAATATGGAGCATGACCATACCCACAATTTTAACTCTCCAAGCAATCTGAAATCAAAAAATAAAAAGTTTGAGCTATATTTTTTTACAAAATGGCGACTGTCTAAAGAAAAAAAACCATTTTTGCACCATTTTTCGTAGACATATTCTTGAATAGTTAAACTATGAAAATATGCAAAAAAATTGTCGAAAGTATTTTTTTCTAGACCAGAATACCCCCCTTAAGGAACATGAAAGGTGGAA